TACGTTTTTTATTTAAAAGAATAATTTAAATGTAACCACAATAATAACCTCTAATCACATTATACGATATAACACATTATATGGTCAATGTCAGTAAAAGTTTAAAATAATTTTTGTAATTTTGAAGTGATTTGTTTTGATTATTTAATAATTAAATGAAAGTAAATACATCAAATATAACGGTTTTTGGAGAGAAAAATGTTAAATTGCCACATAGGTAAAATGAAATAAATTTCATTAAATGCTATTAGCTAGTAATTATATATATAGATAGATAGATATATAAATAATATTAATCAAGATCCATCATTTTTAAATTAAAACGTGTTTGGTCACAGTCCGACCGGATGGACCGAGATCCGGTTTATAACCAGTCTAGTTCGCTTGAATAAAATATTTGCTATCGAATCCGTCAACACCAATCGGTTGAATTGTAGGATCGATAGAATTTTATAAATAAATTTTACTACATTTTAAATCATTTTAAATAAAATTACATATTTAAATAAAATAGAGATTTATAAATTGCTTATCAATTAGTTTAAACATTTGAAATTTTAAATTGTTTAGAAATTTAAACAAAAATTTTAAATTGTTTAAAAATTTAAACAACACATGTTATTTGAATTTATTACAAAAAGTACTATATATATATATATATATATATATATATTAAATTTTTTATAAATTAAATCTGAACAAACCACAAATAATTTAATAAAATAACTTGATCGTTTCGATGATAGTCCAGTTCTGAAAACCTTATATTTACTGTACATTAATAAAAATTATAATAAAATATTATTTTATTCACATAAATATTAATAAAATGATATAAATATTTATAAATTATTAAACATGCTTTCATAAAAGTATTGTTAATACGATTATTTGAAATTTGAACTACATCACATTCACGTAATAAAGTATTTTCAATATTAAAATTTAAATTTAGGTTCAATAATCGATTTGGTCTGGTCAAACTGATACATAAATTTATCACATAGGACCAACCAAGTTGTTTGAAGTTTTTTTTGACTATTTTAAATACCACCTAGAAATAATTCAATCAACCTGGGCAGTACCCTAATTCATATAATAAATGGTTACACCAAATAATAATATATTAAGATTATAAATTATATATGTAAAGGTGAATTAATTTTTTTTACTTTATGCATATTGATGAAAAATATACATAGTAATTTTCAAAAAATTAATATTAATTTATTGATTATCAATTTAAATAATATTTTTAACATTCAATATTTTTTTGAAAGACACAAATATAAAGACCGATATTCTAAAACTTTTGTTATATTTTGTATTGAGATTTTATAAACATAGAGACCGAGATTTTAATGTTGTTCGTTGGTTCTAGAAAAATAAAATAAAAAATAAAAAATAAACACTTAATAGATCTTAGCTGGATTTTTTAAATAATAAAATGAACCAAAACCGAAATTTAAGGTTGCATTTAATTATGTATGATTTTTAAAGAAAAAATAAGAAAAATAATAATACTTATGGGCTGCATTAAACTCTAAGTATGCATTTAAATAATAACACTTAATAGATCTTAGCTGGATTGCATTAGCGGTTTTTAAATAAGTGTTTGGTAAATAGCTGAAAGCTTAAAACTGTTTGACATTGCAAATTACCAATAAAGACATTTTATTATTTAGGGTGTATTCTTTTAATAATAATATATTAAAACATTTAAAATTTTTTAGTTGGTAATTTATAAATATATATTTTTTAAAAAATTATTAACAATTGATTAAGAAGTTATGAATTTTACATATTTCTAAATAAATTAATCATATGGATGACATATTATTATTTGTTAGCATCATAAACCAATGTAGATTGTAAAATAAATAATACAAATTAAAAAGTTCTAAATTAAAATTGTAGATTGTGAATCCTCTATCCCCAAAAAGCTCCTCTAATGAGCTTTTTCTAAATTAGAGTTTTGGGCCTAAAAAGCTTATCAAATAAGCTATTTACCAAACAAGCTCAATAGCGGATTTGACGGGTCAAACATCTCAATTAAGTCTAATCCGTAAATTTATCCTCAATCCTCTATCTTCCAAACGGTACGGAGAGAAGATTTTTAATATAATTTGTTATAAATATTCCTTAACTGGCGGATGAGAGAGAGAAAATATACCATTTTTAAGCCAACATTTAATTAGATGATAAATTCCTAATTATGTTGCATTGTTTGGTAAAGATGCAAATACTTTAAACGGCAATGTAAATATGCTAATATTTGTCTCACAGATCAGCAGATCTGTAAATTCGCCTTTTTTTTAAAAGCAATAAGGCCAATATGAACTCACTTGAATATCTCCCAGGCAATCCCGTTTTCAAATAATATTAAATAAGGCCCAATAATGCAAGCCCAATAACCCTTTATTTATGAAGATCCCATCGGATGTACAAAAGAAAAACATCAGCCATTTAAGTGATTATATTGCTGTTTATGTTCTAAAAAATATCAGCTATTTAAGTGATTATATTACTGTTTATGTTCTAAAGCAGTACAAGATTGCCCATCCAGTGTAACCGCTTCCAGTTCGTTCGGTTACAACGGTTTTTCACCGGTTTCGACACTTAACGGTTCTATAACACTAACCGGACCGGTATTGTGGCCAGTTCTCGGTTAAACCGGGCGAACCGGCCGGTCCGGTACGATTTTGATAACATTGCAATTAACAACATTACATATTTAATAATTTACATTAAACTCAAAATTTAGTTTCAATTTCTTTTCTTTCTGCCCTAGTTTTTAATCTCAACCCGCATTCAGTTTCACTTTCAAGTCCCACCCACGCAGTCCGACGCCGCAACGCTCTCAACCCGCTCTCAGTCTCTCTTCCGGCGCTTTCAACCCTGCTCGCTGTTGACTGTGGCTTCTCACCCCCCGGCGCTTTCAACCCTGCTCTCACCCTCCCCCACTCGCTCATCGTTCCACCGGCTTCATAAATTTAGCTCAGCTCTTACTCTCTGTCTTCTTTTTTCCTTTCTCAGTTTGTCATGTTTCTTCAGTCTCTGACCCAACCTTATTTTTGATTTGTGTGTTTTGAACTGTAATTTGCATTTATTCTTTTTTAATTGCGGTTAATCGAAAAACTGCACCGAACCAAACTGAAATTTTCCGTTCGGTTTGGTTCGATTAATCCCTCTCTTGCGGTGCGGTTCAGTGATAAAATTATAGATTTTCGGTTTTTGGTTTTTTGCCTGCGGTTCGATTTCTTACCAAACCGCACCGATGCTCACCCCTATATGCAAATAAAATCTCGGATCTCGCATAACTGCAAAATCTTTTAAATCACGTGGTAAAAAAAAAAAAAAAAAAAGAATTCCCCATTTATATATTTGTGTGTGTACTATTTTAAACCGTAAGAAATAAAAATCGAAGCCCAATGTTTCAAGCGCCATGGAGCCCAAACAATCGCTAAAAAATGTGGCCATTAGCCCACAATAAAAATAAGGCGGTAAATCGTGCTGAGTCTGCTGACCGAAGATGATCTTATATAAGGTGGTAGCGCACGTGACGAAAGAGAAACAAATGAATCACAATTAAATCTCTCTCTCTCTCTCTCTCTAGGGTTTATATCTGCTGGTATTTCCCTATCTTACTCTAAGCAATTTCTATTTCTGGGCCTCAAATTCCAATTTTTCACCCATTTTTACATTTTTGAAGCTGCTGTTTTGTTCTCCCTGTAAATTTATTCAATTCGTCTCTTTTTTTCCCCATTTTTTTTTTTTTGTTCCTATTTAGAAGAAGAGAATTTGGATATGGAGATTGGAGGAGCGAACAAAAGGGGCAGACCCGAGGTTGGCCTCAATGGCCATGGCGGTTTCAAGAAGTCCAAACAAGGTATTGGTGGTTTTTATCTTACTTCGCAGGTTTTAGGTGGCTACTGATTTTGTTTATGATGCATCGTTGGTCCAGATTTATTTTTGTTCTTGATTTTGTGCGTTGTTCTGCTTTAGTGATTGCCATCTTTTTTGTTTCTCTTTTGTTTGGTCTCCGGCAGTTCAAGTGTTGTTTAGTTGTTAAGGAACATGTGAATTTGTGAATGACTGTGTTGATTTTTGGCTTACCAGAATATATAGTTTTTTCTTAATAATGAAGTATTTTAGTTGTTATGTTCATCATGCCAAAATTAGGGTATTTGTCCCTAGTATTTGCCATTCACATGAGTCTTTTTCTGGCTTAAAATCGGTGCACTAAAGCTTTTGAAGTTTTATTAATGGTCTGTTTCCCCCAGATATCTATGCCAAGTTTGAAATTTGATAATTCTTTTGTTAATTTCGGTATAAATATGGAAGTGTATGTGTGATTTTAAGCGCGGAAATTGGCAAGTAACTAAATTTAATTCACTAATGTGACTAGTCTTGACTGCTGGTTTTTTCTTTCTAATAAAGAATAAGATGACTGCGCATAAGGAACTAAATAGGACTATTAATTTTCTGCGACAGAAATGGAGTCCATTACAAGTGGTATAGGAAGCAAATTGAAGCCATGCACAAAGTTTTTCAGGTTATAATCTTAACTCTTAAAAATCAGTATTATAACTACAATTCATTGGTATACTGGTAAGAGTTGTAAAATGGCATTGGATTTTTCTTGTTTTTGTTACAAAGAATAGCATTATTGGAACTAATGGTTTGCAAATCACAAGTTTTGACACAGGTATGCTTGTCAGTAAATGATAATGATGGCAATTGAACTGAAATGGATGAACTAAAACCTTGCCGAGTTAACTGATTGCATGGTGGTGTGTCGTCTACTGAATGAAAAGGCTCATAATAAATTTATTGCTGAATAATTCAATTGATTAGACACTCAGGTGAAAAGATCAATGATGATGCAATAAGATTGTATCAACCTGGTTATTTGGGTATTGCGGTTCAGATATTTGTGCCATATTTATGAATCTCTTAATCAGTTAAAATGTGGAAGTTGTTGAATTTAGTATCCGGCATGTGAAAATTTGACCTATTGAATATTTTCCATTATGAAAATGCACTCTGGGTGAGGTTTCTGTATCACAATTAATTTTCCTATCCTGACGATGTCGTGTTAATGTAATCATGTTCAGTTATGCCCAAGCGTGCTGAAGAGATTTCCTAGATTACTGTTTCTTGGTCTATGCTATTTTTTTCTTATTTTTTGTTGATGGTGCTTGCCATTTACTCTTTTTTTTGTTTGTTTGTTTGTTTGCATGGAGGGGTTCTTTTACTTGTGGCTGCGTTTGATGAGTGATTTCGTTAACAGTTAATTTATTATAAATTGGATGTTATAAACGTGGATTATAAGTACTTTTGGTGTTTTAATATGGTCGAAGTTTTGGTAACTGGTTGGAAAATGAGAGTATTACAACAACAACAACAACAACAACAAGCCGTTAAAATCCCACTAAGTGGAGTGGGCTATATGGCACGTATGTCGCCATCGTGCTTGATCAAAACACATATTCTTATTCAAATTTAAATAATTTTTTATTGTTCCCTTCCATATGATCTCCCATTAAGTTAAAATCTTTTTTATTGGAAAATGATCGTATTTTCTTTATTTTTTATTTTATTTATTTATTTATTATTATTTTTTTTTTTTTGGTGGAAGTTC